AAACTACGTTTCATCGATGAAATAAAGGTTTTGGGGCGAAAAACATTATTCCGGAGCCGCTATTGAGATGAAGCCCCATGACGAGCATACTCTCATATTCATCGTGGAACTTCAGCCCAGTTAAGTTAAGTTAAGGTTAAGCAACAATGAAGAAAGCTGGTATTAACACCTGCGCGAGAGGAAGAACCTGATTTGCTTTTTTGCTGAAAGGAGGCCAAATAAAAACCGAAAATACATCGATTAAAAACTGAAGGCAGCAGACTTCAAAGCATCACTTTTATTAATATTATATAAAAATATATGTAAATCAAGACTTCTCCGGCAGGGTTGTCGAAACCGTCGAGGAATCGGACAGAGCAAACTCGAGTGGAATCCGGAGCCCGACCATGGGAGCCACGGAGGTGACCCAGGCGAGGAAGTACGAGGAAGCACGGACCTTCCTCAGGAGGTCGTCGGTGCGACACGGATGCACCACGTAGACCGGGTCGCCTCGACACGGATGCTCCGCCTGGGACAGCGTCTCCCACGAGGCGCCTTCGGGCTTCACCGCCGCGCCCGTCGCCTTCCACGCGCGGAAGTGCATCACGGGGACGTTGTAGCTGTCGCTGTAGATCGCCTCGTATTCGCGGGTGTCTTCCGCGGTCCTCGCGGTCTTTCGCAGGGCGCGGCGGTCGTGGCAGGGGCAGCGGTGCACCGTCCAGCCGTCGCCCAGCTCGAGGCTTCGCTTCTCGAACGCGAGGATCTCCCGCTCGAACTCCTCGTAGGTGAGCCGACCCGGCTCCGACATCGGATCTGCGGGAATGGAGCAGGCTGAAGACGCTCCTTTTCGCTTCAGCGAAGCAGTCAATCCGAGTGCGATCCGCGCGGCGCTCCAGGCGTATCGCGTTTAACCCAGCAACCACCAAAAATTCTCCCCGTCCGTGTCGGCTGCTTTTTCATCTCATCCAACGTAAAAAATTTTTTTTTTTTAATTGTTGATCCATTCAAAGGAGTTTTACTCACCAAGGAACAACAGGAGCAGGCAGGAACAACAGGAACAACATCGCACAAAAGTGGTGGAAATGTTTTTCTCAAGTTCTAATGTGACTCGGGCGCAGCGAGATTGCAAGCGCTATTTCCATGCGGAAATCGCTCCTTCGAAAATCGTAGAACTCCTTGGAATATGTCAACAATTTAAAAAAAAAATTGAAATGTGACCGTTAGTTGTTAAGATGTTTCGAATTTAAACTGGATTAAAATGATCGCTCTGTGGTTGCAGAGTTAAACGGAAAATTTTTAGAGAAAAAAACTTCGGAAAAAATGGCGGAAGAACGACGGAAGAATGACACGCAAGAATCGACGGGGAACGAGAGCAACCGAGATTTCTTGCCAGTTCTCCCGATTCGCTGCAGACTTTCCACATTTGCTTCCATTTCAAATTTTCCTGCCAATTTCCCTCATTTGAGATCCACTCGATCTGCCAATGTGATTCCTCCGATTGCTTTCGTTGACTTCCTGCCGTCTCCTTTCGGATGCGGGTGCGATTTAATATTGGGATTCCTCTAGCATTGATTACTTCTCGTCGAGAAAAGTCCCCGAGGACAAAACACAATATAAGAAAGGCGACTTCCTCCTAAAATAGACCTTTTCAAAGCCGACAGCGGGACGATCCTCCCTCGCGACACCGCCCGATGGCATCCGGGGGCCCTGCGCCGTCCGCATCGATCCGCGGGGAAGCAACAGGAGAAGGGGGATGGGGGGATCGATTGACTCACCCGGTCCTCCTCCTCCTCCTCCTCCCTCGCTCGCCCTCCTTCCTCCCTTCGCTTGCCACACCTCGACGCAGTATGAGATCGTGTCTCCTGCTGAGCTCTGTGTCGCTTCCGTGTCGCTTCCTGTGTCGCTTCCGTGTCGGTCTTTCGCGCCGTATGGGTTTGGGAGCCT